AGGTTCTAATCTGCAAAGGAGGGAGGTGGGGGTTGTGGCTAAATTCTCTCCAGGCGGCGCAGCTAATGTGCATGGCGGGGTATTTGAAAAAAAATCAGTCCCGGTCATATTTGAACCCCCTTGTATATATGCGTTTGTGTGTAAGGGAAGATGAGACATGGATAAGAAAAGAAAAATCCGTGGTCCGTTTGTAAGGGACTGTTCCAATATTTACCTGGTATTAATCGCTGAAATCACGAAATCTACACATCAGAGCATATGACCGCTAGAATGTTCCTACAGAGAGGAGCTGAATTCGACTTACTAGCTAACTAGAGTCGAAAGTCCGTCAGTAGTCTCTCTGACCTAGCTCTGCCGGTAATATTCAAAGTCGATTTAAGAGGCATGGGTTTGGTAATTCTCAGCAACAGAATCTACTATTGACTAACAATAAGGGAATACTGAAGTTCAAGGCGTTTGTGCCCTTTACGTTCCTACGCCATAAACAACATAAAAACATTTCACAATTTATAGTAATGTAAACAGATAAATATAAATTCATAAAATAATGTAACTATAATGTTGTCGTGATATTGTTTATTTTTGAGTCAACATATTTCTTAATTGAACAATGGTTTACTTAAGGACTGGATTCTAATCTACGGGCAGAAATAAGCAGTTCCGTTTATTCGCAATACTGAAATGAACTGGGTGGCAACAAAGTAACCGCAGTGTGGTAAAATCGATATTTCATAATAAAATAAAATGATAATATCAGAACGTCATTATTTCATGATACTGAATGAAGTTATCAAATTGAACCGACAACATTTATAAATGTTGAGAACGGGAATAAATAACATCCGACAAAATGAATGTGAATTAAAAAGTACTTATATTTGTACCAAGAAAAATAAAGTATTTTATGGATGTTAGAGTGAATTTCTAATAAATAACAATTTGTCTGCAGTAAAATAGAGTGATCTTTGTTCCCAAAAGAGATGTCTGCAGAGTAAAGAAAATGTGTTATTTGGTTATTTTCATTCCTCTAACAAATCGTCCTGCAATTTCCTATTTTTAATAAATTAAAATTCCTTGTCAATATTCGTTTTCAATAAACTTTAATACATTTGTTGGAAATTTTCAAATATTGATATATAATGATGAATATTGATATATAATGGATGAAATAATCCGAAATATAACAATAATGCAATTGTATCAACAAATTAGTGGTTTCTATTTCGTTTTTATGACAAACAAAGCTTTTTCTTTAAAATGATAACTGATTAAAATTATTCTTAAAAGTTATCACTAATATAAAAGATAAAATGTGGAAAATATTTTTACAATTTTTAAGACCAATACGACACATTAAATACATTGCGATGCCGACTACAAATTAGTGTGAACCTTATTATTCTCTAGAGTGAACCTCATTATCTATTTTCCCACGATAACGGGAAAATCGAGAGAGAATACTTGGCATGCATTCATAGAAAGGCTTTTACTTTTGCTTATTTCTTTCTTACAGCACATTGATGTATTTCTAGTACCTACTCTAAAAGTGTTAAGTGCAATTAATGAAAATAGCATTTCAGAGAGGTACGCTTACTATACGATGAGAAAATTTGCGTTTATTATTATCACTTCCATACGTCTCTGAATTCTAATGAACGTGTCAATAGGTGCCATCGTGTCATCGCCAGGCCCAGACGACTATTAACAGTTTCGCAAATAGCCTCCCCGGGGCGCGCAATTGCTCGAGAAGCGGCTAACGGCGTGCACGTGCGGCGCGCGGGGCTTCCTACGCGGATCTCCGCTAACGAGGCCGAGTGGACGTCGCCGTGCGCGGCGACGTCACCCGGTGCTAACGCGCGTTCCGTGCCTCGCGTGGGACCCCCCCCCCCGC